CCGTACCGGTCCCGTACCCGTACCGGTAGTACGTAGTACAGTACTACGGTATTTTGGGAGAGAGCTGCAAAGCGGAAACTTCGAATCCGGACGCAGAATTACCACAGCAACTAGACAGCACGTGCGCTGTGTGGTAAAAATTTGAAGTCAATCGGACCAAAACTCGGTCCGGAACGCCAATTTGAAGATTTGGCGTCCGTGCGCGGCATGCCTGGGACACCCTGTCCCGTTGAGCGGGAGGCTGTGGCGAAGCGGCAATTTTGAATTTGGATACGAAATTTGGACCACGTTTTTTAGGCGGGATGCGCAAGACGTGGTCAAAATTTTAAGTCAATCGGAGCAAAATTCGATCCAGGACGCCGCCAATTTGAAGCTATGGGGTGTCCACGGGGGGGGAGGGGGGGGGCACCCCAAATACGGTGAACCGATCGTGGAGCTACCCAATATTAATAAAGTAATGAAAGTAGTGATTTAGGTGCCCATAAAAATGTTGCAAAACACTTCAGGTGGGTATCGGTGGTACGCGAAAGGTGCAAGAATAGTGGGTGTTAGGTATTGTGCAACAAGTACCGATAGACAAGATGAGCGTTCAACAACAGAAATAGAAATAACTATAATATATGCACGAGACAATCAAAATCAAATTAACCATATCAACAATGGGCTAAGCAAACAGGCCAACCTACGCAAACACTGGAACGTAACATCTGGTAACAGCGCAGGCGCGGGACGCAAAGTACAATTTTTGTTGTCTCGCAGATCGCAGCAACACCTACCTTGCACCTCGAGGTCCGCACACGCCGCAGAACTCTCCCCTCCCTGCAAATATTCAATTTGAATATGCTTTGAATTCACAAACACGCGTTCGTTTAAAATTCAAGCGAAGCTTCGGCCAAGCTGCGTTGGCCTGTCCGTGCAGCTGAACCGTGGGCTGCCAGAAGGTCAATTTTGCAAATGCTGCCGCATCTTTTGCCCCTCGGCTTCCCCTCCCAAGGGCATCCTAGGCCACGCAGGCGAGGAAAGGGAGGTTGAAGGCGAGAGGCTCATGTGGGAGAGGCGTGATGGAATACTGGCGGAGCGGCGCCACAGGGTGGCGCTTGGCCAGGAGCGCCCACCTCTTCACGCTGCGCGACGGACGGCAACGGGGTCACTGGCGACCACAAGCGGGAAGTGGTGCCACTGTGCAATTAGCGTTCGAAAGAACTGTGTAGGCCAGGCCCTGGCTTTGGGATCTATCCAGGGAGGCCAGAAAGAAGCGCCAGGAGTTCTTCTGTGCGCTGGTTAAATAGCTGAACCTGGGGCTCCTATTTTGGGTCCAATTATTCGCGTGATGTCCTTGAGTTGCACGGAGCGGCAGACTGCCTCCTCGCTGCAATGTACTAAGTTTTCTGGACGATGCACGGAGCGGCGCTTGGGAGCAGCGCTTCGGAGAGCGACTGTTCCTGGGGAGGCGATTCACGGAGTGATGGCGGGCACCAGCGACTGCATCCGTAATGATGCACACAACCGTGTGATGGTTGCAACCAAGGCTCATCATCACCGTTCATTTTACATGACAAGGCAAGGTTACAATACAGCCAAGTCTCACACAGGCGCTGGCTGTCAACAGGCTTGTTATTTACGTCATAAACATAGGTCGTATTCACGCTTGTAAGCGCAAAAATAGGTTTTACGTTTCTGCGCGTTAAAACGCGTGAAAACGCGCAAATACAGTCCCGTGTACATAAGGACAGTACGTGCAAACTTATGAAGTAGATGGAATGGCAGCCAGACGCGCTGGAACGGTAGAATACGAACTGTTGTCCCCTGCCATCGTTGCCCTTGCCGAGGGCAAGGTGGACTCTGTGTTACGTGTGTTCGAGGGGGACTGATCACTGTGCTCGAATTTCATCATGTGACCTGGGTGTTACAACGAGCCGTAAAAACGTAGCACGCCCATAAAAATAGCCACTTCTGCAAATTTACTTTTCATTTACTCGTAAAAATGTGAACTTAAGTACCAAGCCAGGCTTCCAGCCACCAGCATTCAGGGCCTCAGGCAATGTCTGTGTCGCACGTATGTGTCGGGCGGGGAAAAACTGCAAAGCCTGGCAGTTGCTTAAAGCTGCACTGTCGCATTATCCTTTGCCTGTGTCTGATTACCATGATCAAACTTCGTCGTAATACCAACGTTCGTGGGAGCATGCCCTTGGCCGCCCTGGATCCGGGAGGGCAGAATTAGTAATGTGTTGGAAGATGCAATCAGGCGCACTGCCATGCGTGCCGCGCGTGCGTACTGGCGACGGCCGGTCACGGCGCTCCGATGTCACATGACCCCACAGCCAAAAGCGCCTCGTTACGTCTTTGAAATCTCAGGAACAGGATCTGGTCATTTTGCACAGCGTTGCTACGTTGCGTGAGATACGCTGCAAATGCGCGGCTGTGGCACGTCTGGCACATTTCAGTGAGCACTTCGTAGTGAACATGATCTGTGCAATTAAATGTGCACGTGCAATGAAAAGACGGGCGGGGAGCGAAAAGATAGTTAGGCAGCCTGTGTCGTTCCAGACGGCTTGAGCTCAAGTGGTCCGCCGTGGTCGGCGATGGAGCACAGGGACAGGAGGCAAGATCCCGTTCAGATTGCGCATTTGCGACCGAGGGTGGGCGCCCTCTGGTGTCCTGTGCCCCGGGCATGCGCAAATGCATTGCTTACTTCCCTACATGAGTTATTTAGCAGAACGTACCGATGTGAGTACATGAATTTGAGGCTGACGTGATGTTGCGACGCCGCTCATTATACATGCTGCTCTTGCGTTCCTGTTGCTGGGCCGCTGTGCCAACCCTCTGATTCCCTCTTTCCGTTTGGATGCAGCGAGCCCAGACAACGCGCAACGGATAAGTGTTTCCTGAATGCTTTGGGCGGTTCATGGCCACGGGGGGCCTCCACCCCCTTCAGGGTGCAAGGCCGTTGACGCGACATGGCTCGTGATGACGTACTTCCAGATTGCAGAGTCCGTTCAACATAGCACTACGGATTGACCACTTGACCTAAAAATGTGAGCACGTATAAGGCCCAAATTACAATATTGTGACAAATTTTGGTGAAATTCTGAGATGTTTCAGTGGGTATTTTAGGGCCAGAGATCATAACTGGTATTTAATTTGGGATGGAGGAAGTAGGGTGGATTGCGAACAAGCAGAGACACCCAACTGAATCAACGGCAGTCCTAGGAGGATACACATTTCGCACTGGTTTCCATCTGCGCACAGGGAAGGAGCTACTGGTGAGCCAAATTCGACATAGTGCCTTTCCTGTGTGCAGACCGTACACGCTTCAAGGGTGCGGAATCTCACTTATTGCATTATGTCGTCGATTGTGGAAAGTGTTGAAAGACTATCAACAGTTTCCCGACGTCCAATTTAAGGGGGCGATTGTCACAAGTAAAATGTCGGCCAAAACAGAGTGTTTCAAGCCGTGCAAAAATTGTGCAAAACGTGTCAAACGTGCAAACTCATGCCTACTGACTCAATCCGTTACTACACGGTTTGGTCCCATTTTCACACGATGTATACCCGATTTTACCCGATTTTACACGATTTTCAATCGTGCTACACAGTGCACGATTTTCAAAACCGCGTATGTTGGCCTGCTTTTTTTACTATTGTGTACAACGGCACTACAGTCACTTTCTGGCCGAGCTATTGCTCCCAGCAAATGCGCAGAGACACTGACTCTTTGACGTGTTGCTTGCGGCAACCAGAGCCCTTCTCCCCCGCCCCTCACACAGTGCGTAAACGCCTCCCGCTTCGCCCACCGCCCTTTCAAGCAAATTCACCACCAAGGCAGCACTTGTCAGAGCTCTAATAAGTAACACTGCACTGTAGTATATTGCATCGTACTTGTACCATATTGCACTAGCACCCGGTGGCAAAACATCCACCACTGTTACATTACCTTTGTTGTAACTACGTTTTCTCTCGCGATTGAGCACCAAGCTGGGCGGGATCAGGGGGCAGCCCCCGACTGAATGGTCCCGCCACAATCAATCAAATACCTCAAAGTACAGCGTAGCTATTCCAAAAGTTGATTCGTGGCCACACGGGCCCGTCAGGTCTCAGCCTCCACGCAGAGTGGGGAAAGAAGCGGGAAAGTGCACACAGTCCTCCTCAACCCCACCCCACACACACACACTGCCTGCGAGCGTTAGTGACTCACGCTTGCCGAGGTGTGGACCGACGGACAACATGGACCCCCGCAGCCCAAAAAAGAAAAAATCTTTCCAAGCACCTCTACCCCATCCCTAAACTTAAAACCAAATCTCAGATGAGCAGCATCCGGACAGCCAAGCCGCGTCGCAGGGTCGCCTATCTGCGTCCCTGCGTTCCTGGGGTATCTGCACAGCGCCAGTTGCTCCCGCTACCCCTGCACATGATTTCTAACTGTGTAAAACTGCACCTGCCCCACAGTGCCCCTATCCCCAAGATCCTGTCACTCTGTCAACACCGCCCTCAGCCGAGCCCCATACACCCAGTTTTGCCACAGACAGCGTTGGCAGGAGCCGCGACAGTGCAGTCGATGGCCTGTGCCCTGGGGTGTCCTTTGGGCCGGGCATCGCATAAATCCACCGGCCCTCCATGAAGAGCACCCTTCCACAAGAACATAACACAAAGTCCAGTGCTCGAGCAAAACAAACAGCTGTGCACCTTCCACGTACATTGCCAGCCACCAATCACAAGTGAGTGCCAAACACAGGCACCCAAGATGGGCCACAGAGCCTGCTGTGGCCCCCTCTGTTTATCCTCCGATCAACCCCGGTTTGCGTCCACTGCCAGGGAAAGAATCAAAATCACAGCCGTCGGCGGGTTTGCAGCTGTCCCCTTCCGACGCTGCGCACGGCGCGGGGCGGCCTCCCAAACAGCCCTCAAATGCGCACGTGCATCCCGTCCCGACGAGCACCGTCCACTCGGCCGGTCAACAAGACAGAAAAACAGAACCGAGCATGCAATCTTCTCTCGCTGAGTCACAGACAGCAGAGACTCAGATCCACGTCATTCAGCGATGCAGAGACCCCCGCAATGGCGGAGGCCCCGCTCATGAATTCACACAGCTTGCCCCACAGCAAAAGGGCATGGATCCAGTTGTTGCCTTTTCTCTTGGCGGTTGCGTGTTTGTATGCGGTGGGCGAGTCATTCTCTCCCCAGTCGCATCTCCAGCAGCAGCCAGCAGAGCTCCCCTGGCTGTCAGGGTCCAGGACCGCCGCAAAGAGAAGGCCCCCCAGTGGACTAACAGCACCAGACCCCTTCTTTGCAACCAAGGTATTGACCACCATCGGCTGGTCAATGAATAGACATTGCCAGGCATCTGTCCCTGGAGGGCACTCTACTTATGGTCTCCCATCCTGGCAGGGTGCTTGCAGCCATCAAGAGTTGTCCTGCAAGAACAATAGACAGTCAACACAAAATGGAAATGCCAAAATCGTTGCCCCTCAGGAAAAGATCTAAGCATTGCACTGGGGACTCAGAACAGGAGGACCTTGCCACCACAGAATCAGGTCTGGCAGTGTCTAGTTTGCAAGTGCTTCACTTATGATGCAACAGGAAGGCAGCATCTGCTGTGTCCCCACAGGCAGCTGCCCTTGGGAATGGACAGGAGCACAGCGAGCTCATCCTACATCATTTTGTGCAGCATGTCAAACGTTGCTGCATAAAAACATCTGCACTGGAGAGGCTGGAAATTGCTTGTAATGTCTCTTCCCTGGCAAAAACAACCAGCTGCAGGGAACCCTCCCACAAACTTCAATTAAATCTGTGATCCACAGTAGCTTTTAATATGGAACTGCTGTCCAGTCATGGGTCAGCTGTGACAAATACTCAGATTGTGTATCAGCGGCAGTTGCCTTTCTCAAATGCCGATCCACCCCACTGACAAAAAGTTTACCTTGATATGGGATTGAACAACAAAGGGAAGCAGGGGATGTGCGTGCCCTGAATGCACATTTGTGTTGGCTATACTGTCCATTAATACAATCACTTCAAAGCCATTTTGGGCAGGAACACAGAACTGGGCGCAGCAACATAGAAAATGCACAAGCTGAAACAGTTATTCCTGAGAAAGCGCAAATGGATCGACAAAGGATTCCCCTTCAGACGTGGCCGCAAGTATTTGCAGACAAATTCAAAGTTTGCAAACCAATTTTCAACACTGCAGCACAAGCTAGTGCTAGACAATGCATAGCGAAGAGACCACTATCAGCAATGCACCTTACAAGCACAAAACCTGGCAGCCCCTAGTTCAGCGCAGGGCAGCCATGTGGAAGCAAACAGCACTGCCAACTGCATGCAAATTTCAGCAACATGCAACTACTGTCCAGGTAAACTTCATTGAGCCAGCCCTGGCACTTCATCACCTACAAGGTGATGAAGAGTGGAAAGTACACACAGTTTCACACCAAACACCCTTGAACTTGCCAAGAGACGAGCAATCTTCAAGTCAGACCTGTTGCAATTAGGCACAATGCCTGGCAGCAATGCTCTATCAGCAATGCAATTATGCACGTGCTGGGCAACTTGCAGCAGCAACCAGCCAGCTGCCTTACCTTGGCCCTCCATGCGACCATGCTGTCCAACTCTGGTTTGTCAACAGACCCCGCTTGCACAGGATGACGGACCTGTGGCGTGGTGTCCTCAGGGACACATGAGCCTAGGGGAACACAAGATGTCGTAAGAAATCCATGCACATTCAGAAGACTGCAGCTTGTTTGAAGCAGCGATTGAGTTGCCATGTGCTCCCAGCGCAACTATACCAATTCACTGGATTCTGCTTAGTGGGCATTGGCCTCCAGGGCCCGGATCGCTGAAGCGAACGATCCATGAGTTGGGACAAAATTTTCAGCCTTCGTTGTTGTTGACTGGGGTGGTATAGTGGGCTTGACTGGTGCTGTCCATCAACACTGCCACGCTGTGGCTCTGGTCGGAAAAGGTGGCCCAAGCATATTTCCGGCTCGCCACATTCCCAAGATGGCATCAATCCTTGTATCCTTGATTCATAGATCAAAGTTTGGTTGCACCGTCAATTGTTGTGGGAAAAAAACAAAAAGCACAGCCTTGCACTTGAAGGGACATGGCTGGCACAATCCCTTGTTCAGTGTTTATCTGACACAGGGTGACAAGAGACAACAAGCAGATTTGCACGTGGCAATAGCGTTGTTTTCAGAACCCCCACATATAGCCTCAGGCTTCCCTTACATTGACAACAACCCAAAGCCCAATTATTTGGCAGGCTGGCATTTTGGAAAGTTCTTCGCAACAAAGGGGATACTGTCATAACAGGCACCTGTCTACTGAGCATCCTTCAAGACAGGAGAAGAAGATTCATAACTCTTGGGGAGCACCTTCTTTTGAGCGTGGAGCAATTGTTTTGGATCCAACAAAAGAATGTTGAGCAGACACAAGAAGGGTTGCGTAGGCTGTGTGCCTCCAAGCTGGACACTTGGGGATAAGGCAGTACAGAAAAGAGGGAGAAAGGGAATGGGCCAAGCCATAAGCAAAAATGCACAGGCATAGCATAACAACAAACAAACTCCTTGCACACCTGCAATGTACTTTGTGTTCTGTAGCATGCCCCCTCACTATTACCCATCACGATCTTTCAGTGTCAGTGCTTGTGTTTTTTATTCACAAACAACCGCACCACTGCAGGAGCATCCTGTATGTTATTAGCATACATCAGGTGCACCAAGTTGCAAAAATGTCCAACTAATGCAGAACTAAAGCAAAGTCAGGGAACAGCCACTTGTGTCAGTAAAATCGGTCATCTGGTTGATTTGACAGCCAACTTCAGTTAATTGGCACCACCAATTACAAGCGCCCCCACCTAAGGATCACCCCTGTTAGGAAAGACGCTGCACCTGTACACTTCAAATGTATTGTGCTCTGATATTGTCCTCTCCAAAGTAATGCACCCGTACCCTTGGGCGTGTCTGATGTCATACACTGAAGTGGAATAATGACAACCGCCTATGGGGTGCATCATCACCAAATACGCATCTTTCCATATCTCCACCAAACATGTTTGCCAAAAACCTGCCTTGGAAGTTTCTTACCATCAAACGATGTCCTTGAGCTCCTGCCACTTTCTTCTGATGGGTCAACGCCAACAATAACTTCAGCCTGAAAACAACAACAGCCTCAAAACAGATGATGTGTGACTTGCCGACAATGAAAGGAATCAGCAATCTCCTGTGCACTGTCATCGTTTACACAGGGACTTGTGGATCATCTTGCCCGGAATGAAATGATTCTTAGATATTTACTCAGGAGGGGTACACATTCATGACAGGCTTTCGCTCCATTTGTGATGAATCCATCTGGTGTCAGCAGTTGCAGCTGACCAGGGGACTCATTTGCTTCATTTGCAGTGGACAGACACTGATCCAAAAGATGGATGGGGGGGAATGTGTGCGTACGCAAGCACGCACGCACGCATGCATGCACACACAACACTATTCTGATCATTCCATCGACGAGCCAGACAACCACAAATCTGCCCTGACTGCATTACTCGGCATGGGGCGCATCGCCACCACCCTTGCACCAACTAAGAGACATGAAAGGAAGTGTGATTTTCAATGCCATTCATTTCTGTTTCCCAGGAAGGCGTTCACACTCACAAATCCTGTCATGGACAAGGCAGATCATCATTTTCTTCTCCTTTCCTTCAAACACAATGCGTATGTATTGCGAGTGGGTGGTGCGTTGAGGAAAGAACAGGAAGGGGACAAGCATGTACATTGGATGTTACCACACCCGTCGACCCTGCCCGGTGGAGACTGGTGCCTTTCATGGCAGGGGATCCGAAGTTATCTAGGCTGGAACACTTAAAAAGATCAGAGCAGTTAGCTGCTGCACCAAACCTCTGGTGCTGGCCTTCCCTGCCATGCATAGTACAGAAAAAGTATCCAGCCATAATCTTGGTGAGGGGTTCTGCATCGTGTGGCCTGCTTGCTTTGCCAACACAGAATCCTTGCTCGCAGCAATCCCATTGACAACAGCAATTTGAGGTTTAGTACACCCTGCACTTTCTTGGGGGCTTGGTAAAAGAACACATCTCTTCTTCTGGGACAGGTGGGCATGCAACAGCTCAACATTGACACTGCATTATGGAGCAAAAAGGGAGGAAAACAGCAACGATTCATTTGCAGCTGCCCCACCTTGTGGCTAGCAAGATCCACCACTGCAGCACTGCCCACTCGTTCCACCCTCTCCAGCATTGGTAGCGACATGTGCACAGTTGCAGCAAGGCTGACTGGCTCCTGTGGGATGGTGGGCGCCTGCGACCTTCCGGCAAAGGGCATGCCCATTGGGTACCATGGGTTGGGCACTGAAGGCCACGAGCCAGCCATGAAGCCTGAGGCCATGACTGGCAGGGTCCATGCAGGGTGGCTCATGGGCGGTCCTATGGGGCTGTGTAGCTGGATGGAGGGCTGCCCTGTTGGAAGGCAAGCCAGCAGGTCGCCATATCTCATAGATTGGACAGGAGCTCAAAGTTCATCCAGTTCAAGTTTCAAACTGCCTGATGCACCATTGGGTTGCCAAACAAGAGTAATGCATTCATTTCAACTTGAGGTGATGCAGCATCTGATGATGTTTGTTGGGCGAAGGATGGAGACTGAATTGAACTGATGTTTGTTAAATTCCCTGCAGAACAGAAGTAGTCAACCCATATATGGTTCATCAAAATATCAAACAGAACAACTTGTGCCTGGCCATCGATTGAGGGCTCATGTGCTCGAGGTGTTCAAAGCCGATGCCCTCATGATTTAGGGCTCATGTGCCTGGGCAAATTTGGGAGAGGGTCAGGAAGTGAAAATACATCAAGCATTGACGATCGCTGGGATATGACTGAAGTGGTGTTGCCATGTGCAAGGGCATCATGGGACTGTTCAACAGTTCTCGAAAAAAGGGTAATGCAGTTGTTTCAACTTGAGGTGATGCAGCATCTTATAACACCTATTTTTGGTGTGGAGATGACTGAATTGAATTGATGGTTGTTAAAACCCATGGACAACAAAAGAAGTCAAGCCAAACATGCATCATCAGAATATAAAGCAGAACAACACGTGTTTAATCATCGCCCTCAACTCTGGGAGAGCGACAGAAAGCAAAGTGTATCAAGCATCAACGATCGCTGGATTGTGACTCGATGGACGTTGTTATGTGCAACGGTGCCAAGGCACTCTTTGATATTTCTCCATGGAGACTCAAGCCTGCACAGGGAGGAGTGGCACCAGCGACCAAGCTTACCCATCCCCGCCTCCATGGCTGGAGGAGCACTCTGTGGCGCAGAATGCTGTGGGCTCTGGTGCACGGGTGGCAGCTGCTGCTGTGGTGGCTGCGGCGTGGTCGGTTGGCCAGGGCTTCTTGGGTGCTCCTCTGGCGGCGGATAGGGGTGGTTGAACTTGCAGGTCGCTCCAAAGGCACACCAGCCATGCTTAGTGTAGAATGCGCAGCTCCGCTCATCTGCAGGCAGGATCGGCATAACCACAATTGAGGCAGAAGAATGCAGAACAACAAGCCAGGGCCCCCAGACAATCGTGCCACCAGCAGAGGGCTCCAGCAAGGGTAACGCTGGTGAAATTTCCAGGATTCGACTTCAAACCACAGGATAATAAGTCAAGGTCGTTGTCTTGGGGCATTGAGCCTCTGTCGACCCACCATCAAAAACGCACATGCTTCGGCCTTGAACTTGCGTGCATGGCACAGGCAAGACTGGCACTGGCAAGGGACAGCACAGGCATGGGAAACGAAACTTAATGGCCTCAATAGGGGGTGACAGGAAGCTGGTCGTCATAACTGGGGAGTGGACTGGGATGGTTGCAGTCTCTGGCATCACAAGATGCCAAGACATGCACCACAACAGGCCCTGGGGAGCACCCCATCAGGCTCCAAACAGCTTCTACCCCGAAGGCCATGGAGACGGACAAGAGGAGTTATGAGAACTAACAAACTGACAGTCACCACTGTTGCAACTCCTCAACCAGCCAGAGACTCTTTGCCTGGCACCGCTTTCATCTCAACAAAGAAACAGCGCCAGGCCACGATTCCTGCACAAAAGGGGGCGACCACTGCACCGCGGTCAACTCGCAATTCGGGAAATAGGCCATCTTCGAACGCAGCCGGCGCGAAGCTTTCCATCCACGGCGCTGGCCGCGCACAGCCAGAGATCAATGCTCTTTTTCCCTCCCACAGGGCGCGCCCTTAACCCCCCGTGGCACGCCCGCGCCCACCCACTCACCTGCTCGAACGGGGTAACCCCTCGGGTTCAGCTGCGGCGGCCGGTGGTCCTTCGGGTGGTGGAACTTGCACCTGCACGCCAAGTCAGATTCTCAGACGGCGGGCCAAGTCAGATTCTTTCGCCAGAATGCTCCCGAAACGACTTCGCGGATCGCAGCACGCGGCGGCAGATGGTCCCATGACCCCAATCCCGATTGAGCGCGGCGCGTCCAGATGCGCAAGTCCCCCGCGGGGAAGGGGCAACCGCCCGGCGTCCGCGACGCCCCTCCTCCGCGGAGGCCGGCGGTGCGACGCGACGAGGGCCGACGTACGATGCAATGCCGGCGACGCGCGGGCCGACAAGTCCCGCACGCCCCAAACGAAAGCGCCCCCCGCGTGGCGGAGGCCGATCGCGTCGATGTCGGGCCGCCCCGCACCGCCACCCGCCCGATGCGATCGATCAATCCCCGCCTCCGCCCGTCGCCCATCCGACGCCCCGCGATCCCCCCCCGCCC